AGTCATTATCTCGTGAGGTCAAATTTTTCGTTATTTTTGAAGCCCCACCCTGGCTCTTGCCAGAGGCCGCAATATAGCCGGGCCATAAATATGGCCTAATGTCTGAACGCCGTTTCCGGGACCTCTCCCCGGGTGATCCTCATCCGCTTGTTGGCACTTTGTGTCATCTGGTGTTGATCGCCTTGTATGATGTCATGTGGGGTAAAATGTACTACTACTATTAATATCACTTTTTTTAATTAACTACTTCTGTAATTCGTCGTCCCCTTGTGTCATGCCTTTGTTCCGTTTTTTTTTTTTTGAAGTCCCACTCTGGCTGCTGCCATGGGCCCTAATATAACCTTACGGTTAGACGGGGCTTCCGGGATCTCTCCATGGGTGATCCTCACCAGTATGTTGGCACTTTGTGTCACCGGGTGTTTATCACTCTGTGTTATGTCCTGATGGGGTAAAAGTTATTTACTTACTAGGATTTTTTTTCTTAAAGCACTTTGACCTCCCGTTCACCTTTGTAAAAACTAATAGTATCAGCTAAAACGTGTCTTTTTCTTGATTCTCAAAATACTGTCCTTGTATTTGGTAGCATATCTTGCTTGCTGTAACAAGAAATTTATCTCGTGAACTGTGACTAAAAAGCTTTACAAAATGGGGATACAGAACAAAGTGCACTCAACACAAATCAAAGTTTCGGCTTGGGCCTTTGTCGGAAGCGGTGAAGACAAAGGTGATGTAAAGGTTGTGTAAAGGGTATTAGCTAAACCCTCATTATCACATATTTGCTGACAATTGTATGTGCTGTAACCAAAAGTGGGCTAAGCTAGACCCTGTCAGTTTCATGGCCGTTTACATGAAACAACATTTAGTGAGACAAGTAGTGAGCAAATATGTACATGCTTCGGAGAGAGAGAGAGAGAGAGAGAGAGAGAGAGAGAGAGAGAGAGAGAGAGAGAGAGAGAGAGAGAGAGAGAGAACGAACGAAAGAACTTTATTTTCAAAGGGTCACAAATTGGGCACGCAGGCCCGTCTTACATTCGGCCCTTCCAGTCAACCATCTTTCGCACAGCAGTTGTATTTTACTAATAAAGCATGTTATGATCATATGATGATATGCATATTATGAATATTATAAAAGAACACAAAAGCATGAGTTGTAAAGTGCATGCAAAAACCCGCGCGTGCATACATACACCCACATACACGCGCTCACCCACTCACTTACACACACAAACATGCATGCATACATTACATACATACATACACAGATACATACAAACAAATATGCATAAACACATACACACAGGCATACGTACACACAAACATACATACATAGATACAAACATACATTCATACGTAATACAGGCATACACGCATACAGTCATAAATACAGTCATGAATGGAGACACACACATGCACACACGGACACTCCCACAGAGACACCCAACACTCAGACAAAAAATAACAGACACACACACACGACACTTACATATAAACACACACAGGGGAACACACAGCACACATATTTACATTCGTGCTCACACACTGACAGACACACCACACATACGCAGACAAACATGCAGACACATACATACAGCCACATAGACACACACGCAGTCAAACACTCACACACAAACACACCACACATACGCAGACAAACATGCAGACACATACATACAGCCACATAGACACACACGCAGTCAAAACACTCACACACACAAATACAGACAAACAGGCAGACAAACACATTACTGACACCCACAGAGAACAAACACGGCAGAATATGCTAATCATTCAAACACATAGATACTTACACACGCAGACACATATATTCAGCACGCACAGACATATACTCTGACATGCAGACACATACAGACAACAAAGGGGCACACATAACACACACACAGAGAAACACGCATAGACATGCACAGACAGACAGACCACATGCTGACACATACACTCACGCAGACAGACATACAGACACCCACACACAGAGATACATACATACAGCCTCATAGACACCCGCAGACAAAAACACATAAACATACACAGGCAAACATGAAGACAAACACATACGGGGACACACACAGACACAAACGAAGATATACACACAGTAACATCAAATATGCAGAAAAACACAGAGACACACACACATGCAGACAAACACAGAGACACACACACAGAAACATATTCACAGCTACATGTATCCAATTGCACACACACACATGCAGACACACATACACAGCAAAGAGGCACACTTAAACACACAGAAACCAGTTCACACTGAAACATACACGTGGGCATACGCGCGAACACACACACATTCGCACATACATTCGCAGACACACACCCAGATACACAAGCAGACAAACAACATACTCAAGAGAGAGAGAGAGAGAGAGAGAGAGAGAGAGAGAGAGAGAGAGAGAGAGAGAGAGAGAGAGAGAGCTACTGTTGAATTCTAATGTCTTGTATATCTGCACAAGCATCACCCCAAAAATGTCTTAACAATGAATGTCTTCCCATTATTGTATGTAGAGTAGTGTTTTCCACTGTGCAGAATCTCTTCCCATTATTGTATGTAGAGTAGTGTTTTCCACTGTGCAGAATCTCTTCCCATTATTGTATGTAGAGTAGTGTTTTCCACTGTGCAGAATCTCTTCCTATTATTGTATGTAGAGTAGTGTTTTCCACTGTGCAGAATCTCTTCCTATTATTGTATGTAGAGTAGTGTTTTCCACTGTGCAGAATCTCTTCCTATTATTGTATGTAGAGTAGTGTTTTCCACTGTGCAGAATCTCTTCCCATTATTGTATGTAGAGTAGTGTTTTCCACTGTGCAGCAAACGCCCCACAGGAAAAAGAGGGGGGGGGGGGGATTTCACTGTTAAAGGTAAGAAGTTCGAAAATGAACTCATCCAGAGTTCCAGTTAACTGTATGGCTACTCAGCAGTCGCTACTCGAGCTGTGTAAACTTCGAGTACAGTTAATTTTTGTCCGCGATGTTCGTAGTCGTAATTCACTATTAGAAGCTAGAGCGGTCCTAGTTAAAACCACCTGAGTCAAACTAGATAACGATAATTTATTAGAGGCTACCAGAGCACACTGGGAAATGTAAAAAAAATGCTCTGCTTTTCGGCCTGGCACATAATGATGATTCTGATATTTCGAGGGAAATGGGAAGGTGCTGAGCGATTTATTTCACTGAAAAAAGGGGGGGGGGGCGGTGGGCCAACAAATTTAGGAATGTTATTACACCTATACAACTATCCCGGCTGTTTAGGCTATTGAAAACAGCTAATGTCTTGCTAATGTGTTCCATAATTTCTTCTTTGTGTTTCCCTCACTGTCAAAATTACTACCTAAATAAGAAAACTAAACTGCTATTTTAATGCCTTTGGTCTGTAGAGTTACATCTACTAGACATGCTTTTAGTGTTTTAAATATGTTTATCTTTTCATAACTTACTTCTAGTCGAACCGTTGATGCTATATTTGCTAAAACATCCTTTTTATGCGTCATTACTAATTCACTTAGCAGAACAATATCATCTGCAAAATCGAGATCTGTTAATTGCATTTACTCCACCCAATCAATACCGGTATTTCCATCATCCACCCAATCAATACCGGTATTTCCAACATCCACCCAATCAATACCGGTATTTCCATCATCCACCCAATCAATACCGGTATTTCCATCATCCACCCAATCAATACCGGTATTTCCATCATCCACCCAATCAATACCGGTATTTCCATCATCCACCCAATCAATACCGGTATTTCCAACAGAAAGTGTTTTTTTTTTTAAATCACCCAGTCAGTGGTTGTGTCAAATAACAGGATAGATGAAACACTTCCCTGTTTTACTCTAGTTTTAACTTCAGCCAATCGAATTAAACCATCATCTGCCAGCACTACACACTCTGAACCTTCATCATCTTCTTCCTAAAGTCCATGCCGTGTGACGTTGGTAGTCATGTCTATCTATTACTTTCTGTTACGTGTACTTTCAATCAAATCTGACACAGATGATCTGTTCTGCTATAATGTCAAACTGTATAGCTTTTTTTTTCTCGGTCTCCCTCTGCCTCTCCAACTTTCCTACTTTCACGATGTACTTCAGTTTTCTCTTTCTCATCACATTGTTAAAAAATGTAGATTGTCTCTTTCTGATGTAAGCAATCAGTTCTTTTCGTGAGTCATTTTCTTTCTTGATTACTCTTTTTATCATTCCAGCGTATTGTCATCATTCGTCTACAAAACCATGTCTCCGCAGCTTCCAAATAATTTTTCGCTAATTTACCAACTGTGCAGGATTCACCTCCGTCTATTAGGAAAGGGTTAACATAGTCTTTTAAGAATTACCTTACTCAACTCAGCTGACAAAGAAAGATTGCATTAAATATTCTTCTTTTTTTTTTTTTTTTTGGTAAAATGATACCTATGCTTGAGCTATCTTATATATTCATTAATACATGTTCCATCTGATGTTACCTGGGTAATCAAGCAATACAAACTTGCTTGAGATCTGTCCCATTTACCTTAAAGGTGCATTTTGGAAATCAGTTTTCTTTGTAATTATCATTTCTTCTGTGAACCTTCATACATTCATTTTTATTGAGTATTATTTTCATTGGCATACCGTAGCATTCCAAAATTCCCCACAGTGGTGTTCTATGTAAGCTATCAAAATCCCTCGTAGAGTCGTTCAAATTCAAAATTAGGGGTTGTTGTTCTTCAATAAATTCCTCCAATAAATATTTCAAGGTGAATGTTTTATCCTAGCAGCTTCTTTCATGTCTAAAACCTGATTTTCCACTGTAAGGATTGTGTCTACTACCCCTTTAATTCCACTGAGAATTAGTTTACAAAACGTCTTTGACATTACTGATAACAGAGTAATTCCTCACCAGTTGTTACAGGCAGTAGGGTTACATTTCTTTGGAATTTTAGTAACTATTCCTTTCGCATTGCACATAGGGAGTAATAAATTAGTTAAAACGCAAAAATGAAGTAATTGGATTAAAACAAACTAGGTACTTCCACTTACCATTTTCAGTAGGGTGATCTCCATTCAACCAGATGGGGGTCACAGTTCCACATGTATTTCTTCCTGGACACACGGTGGGCATTTTGACTGGGGTACCATTCACGTCCACAAATGTGTACCATCCAGTCCGCATGCCTCGATCACATATTGGTGTGTCCGTGGCACGGAGATCATAGCCTAACCACGTCAGGGGCAACAGTGAGCAATGTATACAAATTATATGGTTTTATATCTATATGTGCGCACACATACACACACATATGTATATATAGTTTAAATAATAAATATATTACAATGAGAAACAGATAACTTTATACTGTAACATTTAGGCATGATTAGATGTAGACATGGCGAGGCCCTAAGTTAATTAAGCTGTATCAAGCTCTGAAGTCCCTATTAAAAATGTATACCACAATGTCACTTAAAAACATTTAGTGATATGACTTTTATTATTTAATAGCAAGACATTTGATGTAGAAAAAAAACCACTATAATCACAAATTAATGCGTTGAATAATTATCATTTAGTTACTTTTCTCTCAATCATAGATGGTTTACACATATAAAGCTGAGTTTTAATGTAATTGAAGACGTCATTTACTTTGCAAAATTGCATTTAGAGCAGAAAGAACATTGCATATTTCTTTTTTATGTCACATCCATAAGAAAATCATGTATACAGTTATAAGATATGTACTTTATACTTTCTGCGCACAGCTTTCTGTAAACCTAGTGTTCAGTTGCAGCGATATTTGTTCAGCCATAAAGAGACTGCTGCATGTATTCAACTGCACACCCAAGGGATCTAGGCAGTTACCGGCCAGGGACAACTACATGTTCAAATGCGACCACCTTTGCATTCGATGTTTATGAGGGGTCCCAGAAAAGAAAGGTAGTAGCAGTACGGAATTTTGAGGATGCCTACTAAAGAGTTTGATATGATATCTAGATGTCCACCCTTCTGGAGAAGAGCGTATGTCCCTGGCTAGTTAACTGGGTAGCAGCTGTCCTGTACTTCCGTAAGGTTACCCTTCATCTGGGCACATGGGTCTCATGTGTATTGATGCACACGTAAACAAAAGCCTTTTGCAGCTGGAAATAGAAAAGAATAGCTGCCCGGGTAAAATTTGGAGTTTAAAATGTATCCAAAGTATTTCAGGATTCTGACCGATGCTACGGAGTTCGTGCATTGCGCAGATATTTTTTGGACTCAGGCTTGAGTTAGAAGTAGAACGGAGCACTTCTGGGTTACTACCCGTGTGCCATGATGTTGATCCGTTGTTTAAACCTAAAACCTAAACATGGGTCTCAAAGCTGTAGAATTCGCCCCCCCCCCCCCCCCCCCGGCTGTTGTCGGGAGCCCTAATATAACCGAACGGTCGAAAGGTGGTTCTGAGATTTGCGCTTGGAGGATTCTCATTCAAATGGTTGCACTTTGTGTCACCGGGTATTATTCGCTCGTTGTTCTGTCCTCGTTGTTCGGTGAAATTGAACTTCACACAGAGACGTGTAATATCGCTCCAGGACTACCACGAGGATCTGCAATTTCACCAATATTTATACGAACAAGATTGCATAATTTAAAGCATCGGGTGTGGGGATGAAATTAATATTTGCAGATTCTGGTATTGCATGTAGATAGAGGAGAGGAGAGATAGATAACGGACAACTCAAGAGCTACAGAACAGCACTGGCAAACATAAATGGCTGGTGTACTGAGATGAGTGTTGTCATCAGTCCTGAAAAGGCGGCGTTTTTATTGTGCTCTCTGGACAATAAAATTGTTAAAGCTCATGTCCCTAACCTGACAATAATAAGCCTGTTAAGCCTGTTAATAATTTAAGTTTGGCTTCACTTGCTAATAAATCTGGAGGTCTACAATGTTGTTGTTATTAAACTTACTATTCACATATTCACTGCCTGGGCTATGAACATTTCATGCTCCTTGCACAGAAAAACACTTGGCTTGTCTGTGCTTTTCCTTTTTTTTTTTTTTTTAGTTCAGTAGGGAACTACTTATTGTCCTAACCACATGTCTTTCCTCGTCTCCCTAATTATCTTTTCCCCCTTTCCCTGTTAGCTCAGTAAATAATAAAATCCTCCAGGTAGAAGGCAGACTAAACTACCATGGTATCCCTTTCGATACGAGCGTGTCATTCAGGGACTATGTGGGAGCAGTTGCAGAAAACCCTCAAAATTGGCTCAGAGCACTGAAAATTTTGGCAGCATTAAACATGAAAGGGAAAAAATGCTGCTCACAGTGTACCAGCCCTTGATTAATTATATGACAGATTGTGGAATGGGGCTGCTCACCGTATTGAAGAATCAGCTGGTGAAGTTTGAAGGCACAAAGAATGGAGCCATGCGGGTGAGAATGTAAAGGGGAGAACCCAAGTAGTCTGTGTGCAATACATCCTTGAACTACGGTCTGTTGCAGAAAGGCTGAGGTGGCGGAATCTTTTAGAGAGAGGGCCGTCAGAGGACGGTCACTGCACATCGCGAAAGGTGTATCTGCGTTGTCGGGTTTGGGTTGCCCGTAGCAGCCATCTGGACGTAGAGCGAAGGAGTATATTCTGGTTCCGTCCGTGTTCTGGAGACTGCCGGTGTGAGCGTATTTGGCATGAAGTAATAGGCTGATAGAGTTTGAACCCCAATGCATCGCTATAATGTGTTCGTTCAATAATAAACGCGACTAACTGCAATATGAGGGGATACTTGGATTGGTATATTACAGTGTTCTTTGGCAGTGTTCGTGGTAGGAACCCAGCTGTCGTCTTCGTCTGAGGGAGCTCTTGTATGTGTTTCAAGTGTAATCATACCTTAGATATTTTGCCAGGTGTGCAATGTTGCTTCCCCTCTATGCATGCTACATTCTCTTGACACTTATATTTTCGCTACCTACATTTGGGTTATGATTTCCAATTACTATTGCTAGGTCCTTTGTTGGGACATAACACTCAATGATGGTCATTTTAATCTGTTTAGTATGATATCGAGCCCTACTCACCTACTTGAAAGAGGGTGCCATTCTAGGAGACACTTTGCAACTCTCAGTGTCCTCATATTGCCTACGTTTTTTTTTTCATGTGCTTCCAAAAGGCGGCGTCTAGATCTGCTTCCACACACGCACACACACACACGCACGCACGCACGCACACAGACACGCACGAACACACACTCACGCACACACACGCACGCACACACATATACTGAGAGAGAGAAAGAGAGAGAGAGAGAGAGAGAGAATGGAATGCGAAAATATGCTATGAGCACTCATCATCATCATAATGTAGCAGGTCCTTTGCAGAACGTCGCTCTCATCACAGTCTGCCTGTAAGAAACTCGGTCTCTCGCCAGTTCTCCTGCCTCTTTTATATACTTTTATACTCAAGGAGTCACTTATATCCTGTGCCCATCTTCGTGTCGGTCGGCCCCTGCCCCTCCTTCCTGTTACCATGCCTTCTGCTATAGTTTTTTCCAATCCGTTGTGGCTCTTGATATGACCAAAATATTTCAGCTTCAGAGAAAGGATGCTGTTTATTAGCCAATCTTCCTTGATATTCAGATCTTTTAAGATGTCAATATTTCTCCTCTTTTTTGTCCAAAATATTCTGAGAATCTTTCTATAGCATTTCAGCTCAAAAGCCCCTATTCTCTTTCTTAAGGACTGAGAGATAGTCCACGACTCAGATCCGTATGTAGCTACAGGGAAGATGCATGCTCTCAAAATTCTAATTTTTATCTCCTTGCTGGTGCTTAACCATAGACTTTTAAGGCTGTTCAATCTTTGCATTGCCAAGGCCATCCTTCTTTTAATTTCTGTTGAACAATCTCCATTGCTGTTTATTATAGATCCTAGATATTCAAAGTTTGTGACATTTTCAATTTTCTTCAT